TATATTGGGCATGTTGTGACGAAAGCAATGTACCACTTGTTTAGAGAGCATAGTAATTGTTTAAACAATTGAACAACAATTATGATTTAAAATATTCTTCTCAATATAGCACCTTTACCGAGTTCGATCGTGAAATTGATTACATCATCTGTTGTTGAAAAATGTATTTTGAAACCAATATTTAGGGAAAGATAAAAAAAATTACCATTGGGACAATGTTAGTAATCAACACTGGTACAATGTTGGCTGTTAACGTTGGGGCAATGTTGTATTCAATAAATCATTAAATTCATTTTAAAATACAATACATTGTCATAGAAATTCCATTCAGAAGCAAATTGCTAATTTATTATAAAAAATATATTGGCCATGTTGTGACGAAAGCAATGTCCTACTTGTTTAGAGAGCATAATAATTGTTTAAATAATTTAACAACAATTATGATTTAAAATATTCTTCCCAATGGCATCTTGACCGAGTTCGATCATGAGATTGCATTGGTTAAAAAATTATTTTGAAACCTATTTTTATGGAAACATACACGGAGAGAAATGTTCAGTAAAAATTACAGAACTCACAATTCACTCACCGATTACGAAATCGACTCGGCAAATTTAAGTGACGGTATCATAATTTTTCACAGGAGATTCAGATAAAAATTACGGAACGCTCCGGAAAAATTCCGTGACAGTTCCGTAAAATTTCCTACAACCACATCTCGCTCCGGAATTACGGAAAAGATACGTAAATTTTATTGAATATTTCTATCCGCGTAAAAAATTTTACCATTGGGGAAATGTTGAATTCAATGAATAATTAAATTCATTATAAAATACAATACTTTGTCACAGAAATTCCATTCAGAAGCAAATTGCTAATTTATTATGAAAAATATATTGGCCATGTTGTGACGAAAGCAATTTCCCACTTGTTTAAAGAGCATTCGGTCGGATGGAGGGGCGCCGGCCACTACTTCAGATGAATGAAAAAAATCAGATGGTGTGCAGTATGGACGAGAGTAAGAGGCCAGCGCGCCTTGATTCGTGTCTGTGAGTCAGCCGCCGGATGAAATCAAGTATATATAACTCGAAGCAACATCGATACCGCATCCCTCGCGACCTTATCTCAATATTCCCGCGATATCTTATTTCAGTTACGTCAAAAAAAAGTATTCCCCCTGTTCCTGGGCATATCGATGCCTAGCGCATGGGGAGTGTTGCTCAATTTTCAAAGTCAACGCAATTCTAGTTGGTCACGTCGACGGTCTTAGCCATCACTCGGTGGTATTTTTTCATGGCTCAGTTTGTGATTCAATTTTGATGAGGTCGACTTCACTTGGGGGTGAGTTTGTGATTTATATTTGGAATCCGAATGAAGTAGCTGAATTTTTACGAATTTCTTTTTAGAGGAAAGTGAATTATGAGAGTGATCCGGACATGATTTTGCTATCTTTTGAAATACTTTGGGGTGGGTTTTTTTGTTAATATCTTGGAATTTAAGAGATGGTGAAATCTTTATGGGGACATTTTTTTGAAAGATCATGTGAAAAGGCATGGACGCAAATGTCGAGATCTTGCGTGGATTACATTAGCTAAATTTTTACGAATTTCTTTTTAGAGGGAAGTGAATTATGAGAGTGATCCGTACAAAATTTTGCTACCTTTTACATTTTGAAATACTTTGGGGTGAGTTTTTTAGTTAATGTCTTGGGATTTAAGAGATGGTGAAATCTTTATGAGGACATTTTTTTGAAAGATCATGTGAAAAGACATGGACGCAAATGTCAATATCTTCCGTGGATTACATTATATTTTGTAGAAGGTGAAAATCCTCAAGGGACATTGACTTTTACTTTTTTACTTGAGTTTAGAGAGTTGCTGCGGAATATTTCTGAATCCAAGGAAGATGGCACAATTTTGATGAATGATTCTTGGAAAAATTATCTTGCTATTTGTATTAGATTCTGAGGGAATTATTGAAGAAGTGATGTTCAAATAAAACAGATTTTTCAGTTTTATTACGCGATTGTAAGTGAGGTTCAAGCAAATATCTTGGAATTTTGAAGAGATAGCGAAATTTTCATGAAGATTTTTTGGTAAAGAAGAGTGAGATCGGGCGAAAAGGTATATGCAAACATTTCGATATCTCTCGTAGATTGCGAGATATTTGGCAGATGTGTACGTCCACATGAAAACGGCCCACTTTGTCGCATCTAGTTTCCGAGATATTCACGTTTTTCTCTCCACATCTCCCATTTAAACCAATGTTAAATTGATTTTTTGATCTTCTATACTGACGTCAGTTTTTATTCTATCGGGTTGATTTCTGACTCAAAATGTGAGAAATCTGACCAACATTGTCGGAATATACATAACTCCAATACCGCCAAAGTGGGCCCTTTTCATGTGGACGCCTACAGATAGTGATCTTTTAGGGAAATTTACTTTTTCTTCTTTCCTCAAGTTTAGAGAGTTCTTTCAAAAATTCTGAATTCAAGGACGACGGTGAAATTTTCATGACGATCTGTTTTTACAGAGGAAAGAAAACATCTCTTAAAAATGATTTCGAGATATGTTCAAAAAAATGAAACAGATTTTATTAACATCAGTCACCTTTGCGTGAATGATATTGGTAACTAAAGGAAAAGGAAAACATTTTCATAGCAAGCTTTTTTGTAAAGACAAGTGGAGTCGAGAAGAATTCGATGTTTCAAGTAGATTGCGAGATACTTTCCAGAAGCTGATCTTCAAGGGAAATTGATTTTTTCTTCGTCACCTAATTTTCGAGCTTTTGATAAGTATTTCTAGATCTGAGGGAAATGACAAAGTCTTGATTAGGAGCTTCGTCATAGAGGAAAGAGTGTCTTACAAGAATGATTCGTGTAAAAAAATGTGCTGCCACCCTTACTTATCGAGATATTTCCAAAAAAGTGGTCTTCAAGTGAAGATTTTCTTCAGTTTTACTCATATTCAGGGTGAACTTTTGCTGAATGTCTTAGATTCTAAAGTTATCATGAGAACTGTTTTGTAGAAGGAAGTGAAACCTGCCGAAATAGTGAGATCTATAGCTAATTCAGAAGCTTTTGATAAATATTTCTAGATTTAAGGAAAATCACAAAATTTTGATAAGAAGCTGTCATAGAGCAAAAAGTGTTTTACAAGAATGATTCGTGTAAAAATTTTGCTGCCACCCTTACTTATCGAGATACTTCCAAAAAAGTGATCTTCATGTGAAAATCTTTTTCAATTTTACTCATATTCAGAGTGAAACCTTGCTGAATATCTTAGATTCTAATGATTTCATGAGGGCCTTCTTGAAGAGGGAAGTGAGATCTACACCTAATTTTAGAGTTGTTGATGAATATTTCTAGATCTAAGGGAAGTAACGAAATTTTGATAAGAAGCTTCGTTATAGAGGAAAGCGTATTTTACAAGAATGATTCGTGTAAAAAAATTTGCTGCCACTCTTAGATATCGAGATATTTCCAAAAAAGTGATCTTCAAGTGAAAATCTTTTTCAATTTTACGCATATTCAGAGTGAATACTTGCTGAATATCTTGGATATTGAAGGATAACAGAATGCCGTTAATTTTCCAAATTTTTGAACAAATTTTCTGTCACAAGTTATCAATATTTTTACAAAATCCAAGAGTATTAATCTCCAGGAGATGATGGGTGGCGATTAGAGCGCTTTGTTTTCGAAAAATATTAATAACTTTGAGTAGGAAATTTGTCTGAAAATTTTCAAGGCAACAATAACCTTCTGCTACCCCTTAAGGTTTTCATGAGGACCTTCTTGTAGAAGGAAGTAAGATCTACAGAAAAAAATCCTCAAAGATTTTGCCACTTCTCTCAGATTTTGAGATCTCTTAAATCCATGAAATATTCCACTCCAATTCAGAATTTTTAGTGAATATCTTTAAACCCAAGAATGCGAATGAAATTCTGACCAATATTTTTGGTCCAAATTATCACAAATCGAAGCATATTAATCTCCAGGAGATGATGATAAAAATTAATGCGCTTTGGGTTCGAAAAATATTAATAACTTTGAGCAGGAAATTTGTTTGAAAAATTTCAAGGAAACAGTGGCCTTCTGTTACCCTTTAAAGTTTTCATGAGGACTTTCTTGTAGAGGGAAGTCAGATCTACCGAAAAAAATCCTCAAAAAATTTTGCCGCTTCTCTCAGATTTCGAGGTGTCTAAAAACCTATAAAATATTTCACTCCATTTCAGAATTTTTAGTGAATATCTTTGAACGCAAGAGTGCGAATGAAATTCTGACCAATATTTTTGATCCAAATTTTCACAAATCGAAGCACATTAATCTCCAGGAGATGATGATAAAAATTAATGCGCTTTGGGTTCGAAAAATATTAATAACTTGAAGCAGGAAATTTGTTTGAAAATTTTCAAGGAAACAGTAGCGTTCTGTTACCTCTCAAAGTTTTCATGAGGATCTTCTTGTAGAGAGAAGTAAGATCTGCCAAAAAAAATCTTCAAAAAAATTTTGCCGCTTCTCTCAGATTTTGAGATGTCTAAAAACCTAGGAAATATTCCACTCCATTTCAGAAATTTTAGTGAATATCTTTGAACCCAAGAGGGCAAATGAAATTCTGATAGGGACCTTTTTCACAGATCCGACTTCCTTCAACAGACAAGATCCTCGAAAAAAATCCGCTATCTGTCTTCCGTTCTGAGACATGTCCCAGAAGCTGATGTCCAACTAGACTTTACTTTTTCCATTTTACTCCATTTCTTAGTGTTTGGTAAATATGTTTGAAGGTAACTGAGATAACAAAATACTGATAAAGATCTTTTCCGTTGATCTCACTGTGCTCTACAAAAAAGTCCTTCCAAAAACTCCAGTATCTCCCTCAGACCAGATATATCCCAAAACCTAATGTTCAAGTAAAATCTACTTTTCCTGCTATACCACTTCACAGCAGAATCAGAATTGTCTTACAATTTCATCATTTTTTTATTCACTTCACACTTACTTTTATATCAGTTCCTTCGCACTGCGAATTATCCTCAGTAAAAATAAAAAGAAAATCGACACTTGAATCTAGGAATTCTCCAACAGGTTCACTGACACTTGTTCGAGGAATAAACACGTGATGCCGAATGAGATTTATTAGCTCCACAGAGTATTTAAAAAAACTCTCAACAATGCGATCGAAATTCCCAGCTGTGAAGATTCAAATCAGTTGAAATTGTCTAGTTAATCCGATCAATTTGATTTATTGAATCACAAAAAAATATATTCTACAACAGATATCGTCAATAAAAGTTAAATTGAAACGCGCGCGCATTGACGATCGTCAGATGCGACTCACTTGGTGGTTCGGACTAACATTAACTAGCGCGGACTGCAGGCCGCTGCTTATAATATGGCCGAGGCGCGAACCAATCGGATCTCGTGGCTCCTACCCAAGACTCCCCACCTTCCCCTCCTCTATCGGGTGGCAAAGACCCCCCGCGTGTTATTCCCCCGATCGTCGTGCCTCCTTTTTCTTTTTTTTTCTTTTTGTCTCCTCTCTTCGCTCTTTTGTCAGTCGTTTTTTCACCTCGTTCGGTTCCCTTATCTCTACCCCCTCCCCCAACAGTGACTATTGCCAATCTCCTTATTATTCCCATTCCAATGCAAATTCTTATATTACCTGTGATGAGAACAGAAGAGGAATCCACGGAATTTTATGTGTCATTAATATTGATTTTCAATTCTGTTTAGAAAAATTTTGCATCCAGAAAAATGTTTAAAATCAAAATTTTTATTTGAATTTTTTTTAATTAATTAATTTTTAACGGAATTTATTGCAAGAAAATTACAAACAACAAAAAAAAATTTCTTACAATAGGCCATCGCCCGAGGGCCTTCAGCCAGATTTTTTTTTATTTATTTCAAGTAAAAGGATTTAATTGCATCAAACAAAAAATTTATTTATTTCAAATAAATGATTTTTTTTAATCGAATAAACAATTTGTTTATTTCAAATGAATAGTTTTTTTATTTTAAGAAAATTACATTTTCATGTATTTTGTGAAAATTTTCAAAAGTGTGTTTCAAAAATATTTGTAAATTATGTGGATAAAGCTCGTATGAATCCAGGAAACGGGAGATCTGGACGATTTGAGCGCTCTAGAATCATTCTGATCCAATTTTATATTACACTTTAATTCAAATTTATTCCCCTCCTCTAAATGTCTTACGTGATATACGTACAGCCCCTAATAATTACTGCACGATTATCATTCAATCTTTTTCGAGTTTATTACCATCTCAAAGTCAAAATGAATTATTAGCATCAAATAAATATTTATTTAGTTCAAACAAAAAATTTGACTCAAACAAAGAAAGTTTCTTGGCATAAGAAAACTGTTTATTTGGTATAAATCAAGAATTTATTTGCCCAAATACAGAATTATTAATAGTAAAAAACATTTATTTAATCTAAACAGAACTTCAAATAAATTTTTTTATTTAATTCGAAAAAATAATTATTTGAGACTCTTTAAATAAACTTTTTTGGAATCAAATAAATCATTTTTCTGGGTGCGCACTTCCTTTCGCTTTTCGGTATTTCAAGTCCACGAGGGGAAAAAATTATGAGTGCAATTCAAAGTCACCGTTGCATCAACCCAAGAGCCAGGGGATTGCGTCATTGAAATAATTGTAGAATAGTTTTTGCTGAGGATGAAAAAAAATGGAGCTTTGCGAGTGGAGACATTTCGATTGATGAATTCCGGTGGAACGAACCATATGTGCAGTCGATGAGTCCAGTTATGAGCCAAAATGTGTGTATGTGCCTTGATGAAACCACTTTTACTCTCGCACGACGTAAAACCATCAATCATACGATCGAGCCCCAGTTAATGGAGTGACGTTGAAATTCTTGAAGTGATAATATGCGCTGTGATGTTGGAGGGGATTGTTTTATGGGAATGAAGAGGTTTTGATTTTTTGTGGAGCTGTGTCGGCGAAAATGAGCGAATAGTCAATTACCGGGAGGAAACTTTCACCAAATTAAAAAGATATTGTTCTTAATCAAAAGACAATTTGTCTTCTTTATGAAGTTGACCGAATTGCAGGTTGTCGGTTGTGTTGTTGGGAAATTTCATCCAATTTTAATAAATCACCTATGGGACTCAAGTATATGGGTGAGCTTCTGGAGTATTTTTCTTCAGTGGTTTTTGAGGCCGTTTTCGATTTATTTATTCACATTTTTTTAAGGATTGTTCAGGCTTTTTTGATTTTCAACTGCAAAATGTTCTTCTCACAATTTTTTTCAAACTATTCATGTTTTGTTATCCAGCCAGTTTTTGAGGCCATTTTGATTCATTTATTCACATTTTTTTATGATTGTTCATGTTTCCTTGATTTTTCGCTGTAAAATTTTCTCAAAATTTTTTCATATTATTCATGTTGTTATCCATCCAGTTTTTGAGGCCGTTTTGATTCATTTTTTCACATTTTTTTATGATTGTTCATGCTTCTTTGATTTTTTGCTGCAAAATTCTCTCAAAATTTTTTCAGATTATTTGTGGATTGTTGTTCATCCAGTTTTTCAGGCCGTTTTTATTCATTTATTCACATTTTTTTATGATGATTGTTCATGCTTCTTTGATTTTTCGCTACAAAATTTTTTCAAACTATCTGTGTATTGTTTTTCCATCCAGTGTGACAATTATTTCGGACACACAGAGGATAAAAGTTTTAGTTTTTAGGAATGTACCCATAATTTTCAGGAATTGATCCTTTTTTTTAAAATCTATTCCTAATTTTCAGAGATTCTTGACATTAACTAGAATGATTTTAGCTTTAGGGATTCAATCACTAAAAATTCGGCCGGGCTACGCTGTACTTTTGAATATTTTCAGTTTTTAAATTTTTCAACTAAATTGCATGGAAAAAATTTAAAAAAATTCATACTCAGTCAGTATAATCTAAATTAAATTTCGCAATATATTGATATTTTTTCAAACATTTCCCTTTTATAAATAAATTATAAAACTTGTTTGTAAAACGGTGGATTATTTTTTATGAGGGGTCAAAAAAATTCTTGATTTTTTCACATCTACTGAAAAAAAATTCAGATTTTAATCTTTAATTACAACGGAAATATTGATTTTCACATAAGACACTGGGTTAAATCCTGATTTTTTACAATTTCTTCTTTGAAAAACCAAAACAATAATTAAATTGAGAAAAAAATTAGAATTCCGAATCTAATCGAGTTTTCGGCAATTTTTTTGCGGTTTTCAATAATCTTTGAAGTTACCGTAAGGGTAGACGCCTTGATTTTAGTCACTCGTTTAATTTTAGAATGTCGCAGATCCCTGAAAACTAAAACTGTTTTTTCTCCGTGTATGATTAGCTTCCTGATGGCTCCGATGGGACCTTGTCTCCCGTTTTCGATTTCCAAAAATGGATTTCAGGAAATGAAATGTTTTTCGTCTGTAATTTACACTGTTAGAAGAAAAAATGGTCATTTCATAGACAGTTAGGTTTAGTAATTCTCAAGAGCGACATCAAGTTCAATTTGAGGGGAAAAAGGCCCTAAAGCTTCAAACTTCACTGGAAATTCTGTGAAATTTCTGTCTTAAATAATATGAGTTAACTGCGTTTGAGTCCTTGAGTGTAACGCGGAAAAATAAATTCAAAAAGCAAAAAAAAAAAGATTCATCATTGATAATTTTTCTAGTGAATTCTAACTTCGATGTTTGAGAAATTGATCCATCAAATTCTTTCTTGACTTGTTTTTTTAAACAACATAAATTATTTATTGCAAAAGTTTGACACTGACAATAATTTTCATATTGGATATGGAATTTTTATTTATTCTTTTGGACTTTTCGAAATTTTTTCTAGATCTTTATCTTCTCTCTGACCTCAAGTAGTTCATTTTCACGTAAGACTATGTTATTTTTGCACTTCTAGATTAATTATTATCAATAATACTAGACTGCCGAGTGAGCACAAACTCAACCAGAATGTTTTTATTTCTACTAACTTTCATTTGGAGTTTATCTCAGATTTTAATCTTCAGAATTCAAGTTATATTTTTACTACTTTGAATAGCAAGAAGACAAAAATTCTCCAACTTACAATCATGAAGATATATTATTTTATTTATTTTTCTATTTCATTGGTTTTATCGAAGTAGTTCTCAATTTGAAACCCCTCCTCTAGCCTGCCTCCCCTCCTTTACTTTTCCTCTCATTGTTATCTGCGGTATCATGGCCGTCTTACTCTTAGCTGTGCCCCATTCGAGCTAGGACTGCACGGGAAACCATGTAAAACCCCAGTCGCACAGCCGGCCGATTGTGCAGTGCCCTAATGTATCCATCTGTCACACTGACTAGATGGAGACACTAGGCCGCTACACCGTGCCTACCGCTTGTAATTTAGATCCGATCAATTAGCCCCTCATGTATAGATATTCCAAATTTTTATTTTTTTCCTCATTGAAGTAGTTTTGAAGAAAATTGCGAGCTAATAAAAAACATTTGCTAGTTAGTACTTTTTTTAAAATAAATTTTTGAAAAATCACC